AAGCGCTTGCAGGTGGAGTTATTCAAGACGAAGTTGTAGCCGTTTCAATGCGGCTAGGTGTGCCAGACCAAAACTACCCACAGCCTCCTTAATTAAAAATTCCACAAACTGCACACTGATTTTGTCCCCTCTCTCCGTCTCTCTCTCTCTCTCTCTCTCTCTTTCCTTCTTTCTATCTACTTTACCTATTTCTTTCTCTTTCTTTCCTTCTCTCTTTGTATTTTTTATCCTTCCCTCCCACTCTATTTTCTATTTTCAACAACCTCTCATTTCTCATGAGACAATAGAGGCTTTGCACCATCACGTGATAGCAGCCATGATAGGAGGCAGGAACAATTGAATACGGTCTAATTTGATTTACATGAGAAAGAATTCAGTTTCCCATGGGACCAATGCCCTATTGTCGTGCCTGCTGTCATGGCTGCCATCACGTGATCGTGCAAAACCTCTATTGCAAGAGCAATAAAGAACCTTACAGAAATATTTCAAATAGTGCCTTTAAAAAATCGTAAGGATAAGATAGCCAACATCAAAGACAATTAGAAATAGGGCCGGCTTACCTGGGTACCATCGGATAAGGTCACCATATTCTCATTCTCTCCTGCAATACTACAAGCCATTTGCGAGGTCTGTAACAAAGTTTCATCTGCCGTGTCATCATGATCATCACCATCATCATCATCGGCCTCTTCCTCTTGTTCATCATCTCCTTTGGTGTCTATCATGTCATCTTCAACATCTTTTGCTGTACCCAGTGTATGTGCCTGTAAGTGGCAGCATAAATGTACCTTACGCAGGCAGACGCGGCCGCACAGACAGCAGTGATAGTGGGAGCAGTCAGTTATGCGGCCATTTGCGCGGGCACACTTGAGCTTACAACGAAGAATACGGAAACCTGCAAGAACAAGTGACCTTTTTAGAGCGCGGGCGTACAAGCTRGGAAGAATTTATCAAATGATCGCTTTAGTATTCTTTTTGTTACGTGATTTTTTAAGCTTCCTGATTGAATGTGCTGTGTGGGAAAAATGGAATGGGTTCACTGTCCACGGTATGTCGTGCCGACCGTGTGCGCAACATTTCAGACCATTAGACCTTTCCTGAATTCGCTTGGATGACCAAAAAATGTTTAGACAGGATATATTTTTATACTCAAGGCAAATAAAATCTAAAAGCACAAAATATAATAACTTCTCTGAGGCAAAGTATAACTGTCGTCAGTACTAAATCAAAGACGGCGCGGAATCGTTGTTGTGAAGAAGTAGGTTTTGGTGGATGTCAATCAAGGCTTTTTCTTGAAATCCCATAGGCACGTGCCCTTTTGTTATTGTAACAATGTCATGGAAACACTTTATGACATTCACTAGAACCCTATTTTGTCGCGACGGCAAATGTTACGATTTTACGCGTGATTTGGAAGCATTGTAAAGTTGCATGAATAAGTTGGTTTAGCTACACGTATCGATAGTACAAACCTTCTACAAAATAAGTTGACAAACAAATGAATAAACCTTATACGAACCCTCGTGTTCAATGACGTGATTCCCAGCATGCATGAGGAAAAAATGCCTGCGCATGCGTCCTGGTTTCTGAGGTCTGTTGTCGCACAATGGGCAGTGGTATCGTCTGCTGCCTTTACTACAGGGAAACTGACAATGGGTAGGATTAGGACACCGGTAGATATCTAACATCTGAGAACCGTTTAACACAGATAAATGGACTGTATTCCCAAGACTTTCTGGATCTGTGGCCATGTCTGTAACTGTAGCGCTGAAAAATGAAGTGAAAAAGATGACACTTTATCCAGCATTTCTACAAGGTAAGAAAATATAACCCAAATTAATGGGAATGTTTTCTTCCCAGTATATCATTCAGTCTAAAGGATCTCTGACACATTTAAAATAGCGCTCTGAATCTTGTTATAGTGTTGAGATCACGATCTTTATGATGAATTATGATGATAAATTATCAGTAAGGTATGATAAATCATCATATCTTATATATTCACCAACAAAAGTTACACTATACTTTTTTTTACTGCAGTTTTCGATATTCTGCAAACTCTGTATCTGCGAGTTGCTCAATGAAATTTGTATTATTAATGCCATCAATCAAAAATAATCAGTCGGCACCTTTTATATTTTTGACTGACAGATGAAAATAACATACCAATTCCATGACAACTAGCTTTTGAAATGTCTGAGTTTGCAAAATAATAGATAATCGCAGTAACATGCATGATTCCAGTAACAATGATTATTCTCTATTTTATAGGATTTATAACCACCATAGCAATTACCCCCCTCCCCCCCCATATCTTTTCCCATATCCCTTTTTCATTACACCGTATGATACAGGTATACTGTATGCTGGATTGGTTTCATTGACCATGCAATATAAATTGGATGCAACAACCTTCTTATGATTATGATTGTTAGCTTTTATTATATTTAGATTTATGACAGTCAAAGCACTTACACTCAATAGTTACAGTTCATATAAGTGGTCTTTGAAATGAAACAAAAACAACCTTTTTCAAATTCACCTGTAGCCCCTTAGTTAAAGACTTGGTTACTCAAGGTTAGCCCCTACTCTTATTTACAGTGATGCCTTTGTTTTCAAGTTTTGAGAGTGGAGGAGGCACTGGGAATGAGGAGTGGCCTTATTTCATCTTCAAAATATTTATACTTATGTACTAAAAAAATATGGTAAATTTCAAATGAATACAGCATTATAACTGTATAGTGTACCTTGGGGAAATTGCACAGAGTCAGAGTCATTATCTGATACTAAGAGGAAGGTGCAAAAAATGGCTTAATGCTCAACAATCCTTCAAATGACTATAATGTATAACACAACAGAACTTAGATGTTAAGTCCTCATTGTTTAATAAATCTTCATGGGCAATTAATGATGTTTTTTTTAGAAAAACAAAAACACAAAAACAGTTGTTTCTTTAGTTAATCATCAAATTGTACTCCTTTTGCTTGTTTCAATCTGTTAAAATAAGAAAAAATAAAAGAAAATTTCCTATAAGAAATACCAGCCTTAATGGCCCTACTGTCAGAGAGCTAGCTACATGCACAGGTACACATACTAGATATGTGAGTTAAAACTTACTTTTGACTGCCAGGGTTCACCAAACTGTAGCCCTGTTTTCTCTTGGCTGTGGGAGCTTTCACTTTCTTCTGAGGCATGTCTAAGGAGCCAAACACCATACAACCACAGATTAATGCTTATGTGAAAGAACCATTTTGACAATAAATTTTATCAGTTTCCCCAATGAAACACTAACACTCTCACCTCTGATATACAGGTAATACTAAATCTTATAAATGTTTATTGTTGGGGTACAGGGGCAGATCCAGGAATTTGTTCAGGGAGGGGTGCAGCGCACATAGTTAACCCAGGGAGGGGTGCACCCCTTAGAATCAAAGGCAAAAAATATTATTTTATATTGGTTAAATCTTTGAAGTAGGGGCACAAAGTCGAACCAGGGAGGGGTGTGCACCCCCTGCACCCCTCCCCTGGATCTTCTACTGGGGTAATATAAACAATATCATAGAATACTGATTATAAGCTCTCCACTACTTTGATAATAATGATTATAAGCCCACCTGCATTCAGTGATAACAAACAGAAATCTTATCCCAGTCATATTATAAGCCTCCTCCCCCACCACCCCTCCCCTCCCGGGAGTACTGCTGTGCACCCAGTAGCACATTGATAATCCACTCAGATGCTCAGATGACAGTTTTTCTGAGCACATTCACTTTTCAAATTTTTTTWATATTTATTTGTCTGTTATATATTGTTGCTTGTCAACACTTGCTGTTTCAATTGAAATGGAATTGAATGATTTCCAAGAATGTTTTTTAAATATAACAGATTTCAGCTGTTTCTCATGGCTTTCATAAGCCAAGCCCTGCCGGATATATAAGCCCAACCAAATTATAGTAAGTAAACATGTAAATAGGCTACTGTAAGTAATGCTTACCAAAAATTGAGGAATCACTAGGAGCTGGACCTTTTTGATTTTTCATTCTTTCAAGAGATTCTGTAGAAACTTATAAAATAAATATTTAGAAGTCAAAATGTGTAACAGTACCTTAGTTTAGTAGTTATGACTGTTGTCCACCACCGTTTTATTGCTGCACTCTTAAGAAGCTACTTAGGGTAGTGAGCATTGCATGACAACACTAATAGCAGCTGTGTGGGAGACTATGATCACCTCTACAAACGTTTTTGAAATAGCTATGAATGCCCGCATATACCTTTCACTAATAGCGGCTGCATAGGAGACTACATTCACCTCTTCAAACTTCTTTGATATAGCTACAGTACCTTTTACTTTTTCAGTAAGATTCATTATATCATCTGCCATTCGTAGTATCAGAATCTGTAACTCAGTTTTTCTGTCATCTGCACTTGCTTCATAAAGATCAAAACTGAGTGCTGTATCTGGTACACCAACTGTCAAAGTAATTTTTTCAGCATGGAGGGTAATTATCAGATTGCCACATAAAAAATCTGATCTGAAATATTTAAAGAAATCGAAGTGCCTGTAAGGTTTTAACTTTGTGTCTCTTGATTCCAGGGCAATTTGAATACCCAATAGACATTGCTTATCTGCAGTACTCTTAGGGTGAGGAAATCATTTAACAAAAAGGTAAAACCAGTGATATAAAAAATTATGACTCTAATTAACTTTATATAAAAGTTTATTAAAAGCACTTTATTAGCAAAATAATATCAAACTATTTCATTTATATTTCTTTTTTTTTCCAATGGTATATCCTCTTATTAACTAGGATAATATGATGTCAATAGTTGGTCAAAAATGTCATAATGCAACATGTGATCAGGTTCTAAAGAAAAAAAAATTATTTGTTTGACTCCTAATCATCATTTTTTTTCTTGGTTCTCTGTATGGTTTTCCTCTATAAGTGAATCTCAGTCAATATTTCAGTTAATAGACATATTCATACCTGATCTTTGTGAAAAATGTCTCATAAGTGTCAAGTTGTGAGAGTTCCCTCTGTAACAAAGCACAAAGACAAAATGATTACAGAAAAAAAGTTTTTTTTGCAGCCCAAACATTATAACAAAGAAAAAAGCTTGGATATCAAAAAAATATATAGCTTGGATATTAAAAAATATCAAATTACACATAGAAGAAACGTTTTAATTTTTGATAAATATTACACCATTATTCCTATGAGGCATAGATTACCAAATTAAGTGACAATTTAACAAAATTATTCATGTATTTTTTCTTAAAAGTAAATGGTCTCTTAGCATAAAATCCTGGTTAGAATCTCTGGGATTAGTCATTTGTCATTCATAAGGGTTTTTGATGGGCTTATATAATGAGAATGGCTCATAAGAGGGTGCTAATGGGGTACCCAATTGTCAGTTAACTACAAATTTTTTTCTGTCAAATGTCAGTTAACTGTGATAATATTTTAAATATTCTGACCATAATATTACCAAAATAAGGAAATATCAGTTGACTGTTAACTACTAATTTTAGGTTATTTTTTCAGTTAACTACTATTTTTTGGCCAATAGTCAATTAACTAGTAACCCCATTGGCACCCTCTTATAATGGTATGGAAGGGCTTATAATGGGAAGGGCTCGTATTTTGGGGGCAAGGGAGAAAAATATCCTCTGGAAGAAATAGAGTTTGGAATGAAGAGGAAACAGTTATTTTTTTCTCTTATGTGTTCAGTCAATTTCTTATGTTTGATCACCAAAATAAACATGAGTTTTCAGAGGTGTGCTTATAACTTGTAAACGGGGAGGGATTTTTCGGCATGTGTCTCTTACATATGAGTCCAAACTCTGTCCATCAATTTCCAATTTCCAGACATCGACTCCATCACTGGTGCTGGGAAACAAAATATATGGCTAAATTAATTTTTTTACAAGAAATTCACTATGGCCACTTTAGCTTAGCGATAAAAGCATTATTTCCTGTTGGAGAGGGAAGGGGGATCCAAAGCCCCTCTCTCTCATGATGATCAGTCACTGATACCCTTCTAATACTGATATTGTGTATTCAAGGCATGGAAACTACCATATTTATTCAACGGTAGTCTTCTTAACAATATATTAAGACCAGAAAGCTTGTATTTCTCACATAAGCTTATTAATACATCAAGTTAATCACAAAGTTTGCTGAGGCAGATCCCAAACAAGGAATTAAGCTTATATGTAAAAAAACAATAACTCGTGCAGTAACTTAGGCCATAAGACTAAATTCCTAAACAAACCCAACTCGTATGCCATCTGAAACTTTTTTCAAAACGAAACTTTTATCTTTTTCGAGATGAAACGTGACTTGAAAGGTCTAAACTTCGAGTTACCAAACAAACGCCTTTCGTTTCTTGCCGCCATATCACTATAAACGGCCGCTTTTTTAGTATTTGATTCTCTATTTCGCATAAAAAATATAAACTCTGCAATGATGTGAGGATTTATAGTATTTACGTAAATAAAATGTTATTTCCTCCATGGTTTTGACAAGGAGCAAAACAAAGGCCATATTTACGAAATACAGAAGAAGACCGTCGCTTGGGCACGTTTTTGTACCTGAACCAAAGTGGCCCACGATTAAAACCAAAAATACTCACTTTATAACCCACGAAGAATTCTCCAAACATAGTCTAGTCCAAATCAAGAACTTTCTTTCCCCGTAGAGAAGTGTATTTAGTAGTGAATTTACTGCATTTTCTGTTACGATATGACACAAATCGACAGGAGTGGCTGAGGACGCCATGTTTCTTGTACCTGGGTCATGTGCTGGTAAATGTGCTGGCGAAGGGTCCTCCCCAGGCCTTTTCTTCCAAGACCCTCGGCACCTCGGTCCAGCGGACTTTTTGTTTTAACTTTTTTTTCCATTGAATAACTTTATTTAAGATCGTAGTCCTTTTTTTACCTCATTCTCATGCATATATATTTTTGGATGATGCATTTATGAACAAATACAGAGAAGCAGCCGTTTCTCCCCCCACCCCCCCCCCTCCAACAGTAGCGGTTTGACTCTCCTAGTGGCTATTTGATTAATTACTGTAAGTACCATTGAAAAATGAGTTTCTTGGCACCTGAACTTTTTTTTGCACCCTAATTAAGGATCTCTCCTAGTGTTTTGAGTAGGTAGCCATTAGTGGTGCATTAGTTTTCTTTGGGGGAAGGGGGTAAGGGAAACTTGGCTTTAGAGTATTGTACGTAGATTTCAACTTGGAACTGTAAAATCTAGATTGATTATGCTATTTTTTAGTGTCAGAGTACGAAAAACTTCGTAATGTCTAATAAAGCTTCTTATGTTTTTAAAACGAATGCAAATGAACACGTTCTGTGAGCCGATCTTCTTCGGTCATTTGCGTAATAGGACGTTTGCATTACAAGATTCCCTTGTCAAATTTAACTAAGAAAGAAAATTCGCCAATCATTATGGTAGTGAGAGTCAAATGACGCCATCATGCAAACGTCCTTATTCTAGTTAACGTCATCGCACACAGCCTTTTATTGCCGTACCATGTGTTCCAAGGTACCAAGTGGTCATAGTCTATGTAACACTTGAAAGTATCATAATCGTAAAAATATCATACTTTCGTCCTGAATATCGAGAAAACACTTTATACAGTGATTATTGGACCTTTAAAGAGTATTCTTAGGAAGTTTCAGCTGAATCCAAGTTTGAGCGATTTTCGTCGTAGTAGCACTTTAAATAAAGTATTTTATTATTATTATTATTATTATTATTATTATTATTATTATCAAAATAATCCAAAACAAAGGCAGTCACCAAGATGAAATGAAATAACAGATGCTTTATTAATTATTTTTTAAAAATCGAATAATTTCATGGGACGGTGGAGACGGGGGAAGGGGGGTGGGGGGGCTTTGGGGCTTTAGCCCCCTCACTTTTTACAAGAATTACACTGCTTCTATTTTGTCTAGGAATAAGAAAAAAGTTCAGCTCAAAACAGGGGAGAAGAGGAGAATACTGTAGCCCCCCACTTGCTCATGAGGGACTGTTCCGCCGTCCCCGAATATTGACAACCGTATATTTTCCGAGTATCACTACCTTGGACTCCAGGGGTTCTATTTCGCTTTGGAACTTACAATATATTATCTCTTTCGGGGTTTTCAGACGATCTGCTTCAAAAAAAATTCGAGAATTTGAATTTCAAGAAAAAGAAGCAAAGTCGTAATGAAGATCTTGCTAGCATTTTTAAAATAAATTTCTTAGTTGGTGGTCTCGTTCCACAATATGAGTGCCCCTAACGAGTATTTAATATATAATATATCAATTTCTCACTCAAAATAAATTCGGTAAAAATTATCAAGATTTACGAAAAATAACTATTTTATATTTCATGGGGCAGAAGGCCATTCACGAGCCTCGCGATCGACGGGAGCTTTGTATGTATTACAATCTCGCGTCTTCATACCAGTCTTGATCTCTCGCATGATACATGTGATAAAACTTGGGTAAACAGATTCTCTCAATGTCTAGTTGTCCAATAAGCGCTCTGTCGATAAACAGAAATAAGAATGAATTCTAGAGGAAAATTCGAGATGCAGATGAGATCACGATTTTCATTATAGTGTAAAGCGACACGGCTTAAAAACCGCTGCGCATGCGCGAACTTTCCTCCTTCAATCGGCGGTTTTTTTAAGCCGTGTCGTGTAAAGCATGAAATTCTCAAGTGGAAACAGATATCATCTTTAGATTTTGAGGGGAGGGGTGGGGATAACCGGTACCCGTCACCTCCGTAGTGAAATCCTTGATTTTGTCCTGTAACTGGCAATTCCAAAGCTGAGAAAAAACTAGGTCGAGTTGGATTGCAGTGCATTGTGGGACTGTTTCAGGGGACGAAATATATAGACTCTTCCACAGTCTCTCGCTCGTCCGTTCCGTCTCCACGCTTAGAGACTGTAACGGTACAATGAACGAAAGGACTTATGGGTCCCGAAAACTTGGACCCAGCGTGCTTTGGGAACCAAAATACTCGTCCACAGTCTCTCTCGTTTTCGCCGCCATCTTGAAAATATTGAAACGAGAGAGACTGTGGACGAGTATTTGGGTTCCCAAAGCACGCTGGGTCCAAATTTCGGGACCCATAAGTCCTTTCGGTCATTGTACCGTTACAGTCTCTAAGCGTGGAGACGGAACGGACGAGCGAGAGACTGTGGAAGAGTCTAAGAAATATATAGCCGCCATATTTGAAATTTATCCCCTAAAACAGTCCCGCAATGCACTGTATAGCCAACTCGACCCATTTTTTTCCCTCGACCTCAGAATGGCTAATATATCCAAATCGCAAAGATAAGTGTAATGTCAATTTAATTTCCGATGACTATAAATATCCTTACCTGTCAACCAAATCCACATCTTCTCCTCCCCACTTATGTCGAAAGGTTTCTTCATCCATACCACCAATCCTGTCCCAGTCGGACTTATACGCACCAAATAATCCATATCCAAAGGTATCCCATCCACCTTGACCATAATTTTTCGAGTAGCCACATTTAAGTTTGATAAGCTTTGGGGTGTATACAGTTTTCCCTTGTATTGTATGCTGTGAGTTCGAAGGATTACGAGTTGTTCAGTGTTTTTAATGGTAAAATATTTGTGATTTGTGGTCATCAACTGTATATAATTCTCGCGTTATGATTGGTTATGGAGCGTACGTTATGAGAACACATCGCACAGTCGTTCGTAATCAAAATACTCTAATTTGTAGTTTAGAAACTAAACAGAAAACATATTTGATGAGCTGTGTGAGTTATGAAGCACATGGGGAATGGCAGAACAATTGAAAAGTGTTGAGAGCTTAAGCATTATTTGCTTCGCTTCCTGCTTCTTGCTTTTATCCTGTTGCTTGTTAACTGCACACGGCACTTGTTTTCTATTTCTCGGAAGAGCACTCAAGAAGTGATGGAGTGTTTAGAAGTCCCCAAACTTTTCTTGTGTTCTGCCAATCCCCGTGTGCTTTACAGAGCACGCGTGCGCGTTTTCTATTTCCTTCGTCAATATTGATGGAAATTTATACCTTTCGTATAGCGTCAAATATATTTGCTGGAAGGTGCAAGTGAAGATCTAAAGTGAAGACGATGCTGTTTGAGTCCTACAGTGAAAAGTAAAAAAAACACGAGAAATTAGAATGTCTAACTATAGTATTATCTATTGGCCATAGATAATGGAGAATGAAAATTACTTTTTGGAACCTACTTGCAAAAAAAAAAAAAAAAAAAATTGCAGCAAACAAAAAGAAAAAGTCGTGTGAGCGTGTTTGTTTTGATGCGCATGTCGATTGACCGCGGAGAAAGAACGTCACGTGATAATAAAGACCTACAACTTTTTGTCTTTCTGATGCAATATTATATGTGGGTGCATGATTTCCAATAATAGTGGCAGTAACTTGGACCCTACTTGCCTTACTTTAACCTTTTTTTTGGGTACATGCGACTCATAGTAAGACCCCTTGAACCAGAGGTCTAATGTGTTATTGCTTTATTTATCTATGAGGCCTATTGATATTGGGCGATCCACACTGTACCTTGATAAGCTCAACAGCTTCATTCAAGCCATTAGTTTTCCAGAACGGACTTGGTTTCCACAGAATTTGGTACCTAAATCAAAAGAAAAATCAAAACTTCGTATACATGCTGATTTCTAAGTTGGGTTCCTAATCGATGAAGGCGAGCTGTTTAAAATACTTCGAATAAAGGGTGAGTACAGTAAGGTTTGGATTTAGACGATACGCAAGTTCAGACAAGTTGTTCAATAGGTTGGTGTTGTCATCTCTTAACATACGGGGGGTATGCGCAGACATGACATTGCGTATGCGCGAGTTATTACCGATCTGCTTGCGAGGTGCGCACACTATTTAAAACTAATCAAGGCTTGTCCTGCTACGGCATTGTTTCTCGTCTCGGCGCAGTCCAAGGGCATCATTGTCACTTGCTCAATGCTAAGCTGGCTGTATATTTACTCTCCCCGGCTCATCGGGTACTCCGTTTCCCCTCCCTCCGACCGTAAGGATCGACTTATGGGTTAAGAGTTGTGCGCCGCATAGAATATATAGTGTGTAAAAGTCGGCTATACTGCATGGAAACAGTATTCATACTGAATTCGATGTTAACCCACTATAAGAAGAAATTTTCGCGCACATCTCACGAGCAGTGTTACATATTTTTGTCGTTTTATTGGCTTGAACCGGCAATGATTATTAACGATACGAACCTATCTTTTAAATCACTTTTTTCCAACACGTTTTTGATATTTATATCTGTACTATTGAAATCCACCACAATCAAATAAAAGTTTCGATCGATGCCTTCTCTGTAGAACTGTAAAAATGAAATAACATAATTGGTATCTACTTGCGCAATGAATATGCACGTCATTTATATCCGGCGCTATAAATTCCCTATAAATTGCACATAAGGGAGCCGTTCATAATTTATGCGGCGTAGTTGGGGGCTATGGGGATTTTACATTTTGAAATTATGGTTTTTCGAGTGCCCTCCCCACTCAAATATAACATATTTTTTTGTGACCCCTCAACTACAAATACGAAATTTTAGTAGCCACTAAATATCTTATAATTCCTTCTAATTGTTACCAAAAAAAATTGTTGCTCCACCTCCTTTAAAAGCCCCACCCAATAAATTATGAACGCTCCCTAACTAGCTGCGCACAGTATATAGTAGCATTCATAGAATTTAAAGATGCTGCGAGATATTGAGTTCTAGAAGGCATTTAGATCTTAATCAAGGGCGGATCCAGGAGGGGGGAGGGGGAGGGGGGCTTTTTGTTTTCCGTTGTGTTGACAGAAGAAACTCAATTAGCCCCCCCCCCCCCACTTAATTCAATTAGCCCCCCTAAAAGTTTGACTGGATCCGCCCTTGTTAATATAGCCTGTTGTCTTCACGATGGGTTTCTTAATACTTACTCTTGATAACTGTTTGACCAAGTCTTTCATCCAATACCCGTAGTTCATTACTATTGAAATACAGAAAATACAGTCAGTCATCGCGAATTCCAGGTGATGGAATTCTCCATTACATCCATCCATCAACAGTGCCCCCACATTCCAGGTTCAACGCAGGAAATGGGAGGTGGATATATGGGTTTTTCTTTACTTAGGGACTCCACCCATTTCCCCCACCCTCCCACCGCCCGTATTATTGTTATTATTGTATTATTCAAAGTGCCACTAAACTAAGGGGGAAAACTTGGGGCTTCTAAATTTTTCATCGATCTTCCTTCCCTTTCCGATAAACTATAAACGGTTCATTTTACTATTTAAGGGCTTTTGTGATATATATTTGTTAATACGTATTCGGTGCATGTATAAGACAAACTACAAAAAAAAGCCCAGTATTTAGTTTTAAGAGTCTCTTGAATAAGAGGGTTCGTAATGCATATCATTCCCGGCTTAGGGACGCCCATATGTTATCTAAAAACACTCGTTTGTTTTCTTGCGTGGTTTGCCCAATGGGGCAAGATTTTTGATACACTATACTGTATACTTTCTTTCGACTTTCAAACCGATAAATCAAAACTGTCATCATTTCCTACTCAAATACAGCTAAATACCTGTGACAATCATGTAAATAGTAGCGCCATTTTTCCATTGGTAGCCCCGTGGCTGACAAAAACTAGACACATTCCCGGTGGATGTATAAAGATACTCGGACAACCTAACAGTCGCGTCACCTAATGTGTGGGGGGATAAAAGGAAAACACGTTAATTTGCAACACATAAACGTTTCAGATAGCCATTTAATAAAAGATATGAGATTGATTAGGCAAAAATATTTTCATTTTCCTGGTTACCAGATGTTTTCTTTTTTTTACCATAATTATTTTAAGTACCGTAGACATACCGCGATTGCTCCTTTTTATTTTAAAATTGAAATTTTTCAGTATTATACCAACCAACGGTAAAGAATAAAAAATAAACAAAACATGTAAATGAGTGATCTAAATTTTGAAGAAATCTCTGAAGTTTCTGGAAAGAATTAACGCCATTTTGGTCGATGACTAATTACGTTGAATTATTTTTGATTAAGTTTTTGTTTTTCAGGAAAAAACTATTACAGTTTAGAATCGAGTAGTTACATGCTTTCTTTTGGAAGCAAGTTCGGCATCAGTCATACCTTTTCCTTTCTGTTTTAGATCCTGTAAAATAAAGAAGCAAATAATGAAGCAATTACAATGTTCAATCATAATACGATTCCTATAGACTCGTATCACATTAGAGTAGAGTTTGTTAGGTCTGATCTCCTTTGATTCGAGGGTTTTCAGTCTTTGAGTTCTCTTATTTCTTCCTCCACAAAACTTAACAAGCTATCGCTAAATTTCAATTCTAGCTGTGAGTTAACCGACCATGCCTTGACTTTGATCAGCTCAGAGACTGTTTCAGAGTTCTATGTGATTGTCCATATCAATTCGCAGTCTCATTTCTCAGTAATAATATTCCTTATATATACTTACCAACTCGACCAAGTAACGAATTCCGCCATCGACATCATATTTCGCTTCAATTTGAATGATGCGGTTAAGCTGAAACTTATTCCTAGGAAAAGCAATTGGCAATAATAGTTTAAAATGTCCGTTCCGCGCGGTCATAGAAATTCGCATTTATTGGATTCCTACAGTAGTATTTTTTAGCCATCATCTGAGAGAAATAATCGTGTAGGAAAAATTCAATTCCATCCATCATTTTCATACCATTCTATATGTGCGTGGTGGTTCCAATATTTCTAAATGTCTAAGTATCGGCTTTACTTCTATCAATAATACTGACTTAGACCGAGTATAGCTGTCTGGAAGGGGTCGTGGAATCGGGTGTGGCACGATATATAGGGGGGAGGGGGGAGCACAACATTTGCATTATGTTCTCGCTCTTATATTTCAACAGGCGTTGTTTATTTTTTTACTCTTACCCCTTTTTAGCTTTGAGAGCCCTCATAAAGCTTGATGCAACAGACTTCGCTTCCTTAAAAGACAAACACACTTTACTATATGGCATGCGGCATTAAAGATTACGTCCAAAGACATTTCACACGAAACTTATGGAATAAACGGTGTCCTATTTTCAATTGAGAAAAATCCTTATTGAAGATTTGTAAAAAATACTAATTCTTACTTTTTCTGGGATGATCATATTTCCAATACTGATTTCATCATCACGATTTCCTTTGGCCATGGTGGTATTGTCATTAGGATAGACCCATGAATGTCGAACCTGAAAATAGCCAAGAAAAGACAGGATTAAAACCTATAGCTCATTCTCGTTGTATCGCTACCATTCACACCTAATAGAACACTGTATTTTAATGAGGCGATGCATGCCAATGTTTAGTCCATATTTCTTAACAATAATGCTAGTTTCTTGGAAGCTAATATTCGTTGATTATCGGGAATAGATAGACCTTTTTCACTTGCAATATTTTTAACCCACAATTGGTACACAACGAAACTTGAGCTCAGGGCGCAACTGTTGCATGCACGCAATAGATGCATGATACAAGGTGCAATTACGCTGACATTGCGTACAATCATTATGTGCAATGGTTGCGCCGTGTGCCTGGGCAATGGACTACTTCGATAGTGCCGCGGGGCTCTTTTGAAACGCAAGGAATTATGGGTCGCCAGGGGGGGGGGNGGGGGGGGGGGGGGGGGGGGGGGGGGGCAAAACAAAAGAAAGATGGTGAAATGGCGACCCCACGATATCTGAGAAATAACCTCAGTTGTGGAACTGTTCATTTTTTTAAATTCAACTCTTTTAAATTAATTGTCTTGTTTTGAACCRTAGATGACAATCGATGCCATTATAGTAACAAAGCTTTGTCTATTTGCCCCCCAGGATGACGACCCATGATGTCTTGTGATTCAAGATGGCCGCCGCATCATCGAGGTACAGTAGTCCATTCTCGATCTTTAAGCTAGTGAATTTCGACGCACTAATGAACAATTTCCAATCTCTCGTCTACCTGCAACTAAATCATGTGTGTAAAACTAGACCACTACTCACTATTTGTTGTGACTGGAATTGTCTTTTCAAGTGTTTGGGCAGATACTTTGGTTTATAGGAACATCCTTTGAACACGTCATTGACTTCAGAATGGTCAAGTAACTTAGCTGTTGAGTGAAGCAATAAATGTCACAACTCAAATCATGTTCTATTTTCCTTGACCAAACTACTACGCGTTCCTCGAGTTTGAAATGAAGGTTTGAAATTTTCATTTATAGCGAAGGGGGAAAATTTTTACATATCGATTTCCCCCGCACAAGTAGCTTGGAAAGTTAGACTTTTTAGCAATGATAAATATGTTCGTTAATCCACATCTCATGCTCCAAAGGGGCCAAAATAAACAATACTAATTTACTATAAATAAAATAATAATATAGACCTCTTGAAGTATGATTTCCAATGCAGCTCAATTTGGAGGACAAAGCAATGTATTTTTACTTTCGTGAGAAATTAAATTTATTGTTTTGTCCTTCAAATTGAGCTGTCTACTGCAAGGGGCCTATAAAGATAGAGTTCAGCAATATAAAGTGAATTTTATGTGTTATACTAACCTGTGACGAAATAATCATCACGAATGTCTGCTATCTGGAACAACATATGCTGTAAAGAATCATAACAACGATTAGGCATACTGCGTGTACTATAGCTTACGTTATTATGTTGATGCATGTGTTGAAGAGGGACTCCTTTTCCACTCTTCATTTTTGCGCAAACCAAACGTCGAACTTCACATCAGCCGAACCTAATGACATCGAAGAAGACCGCCTTGTTATCTATTGTTTCAATTAGGTTCGGCTCATGTGAAGTTCGACGTTTGACCTGAGCCTTACACACACACAGTTTTCTGGAGAGACAGAGACCCAAAAAGGATCTAAACTAACCTACCTTATTATATCTTAACGCAAGACCTGGGTCACCATGATTGATGCACTTGGTTCTTTCGCTTGTCGCCGAACCTTTAGATTCAACTGTATGAAATAAATAAAGAGGCAATCAGGGATAGGTCGAATAAGGTTTCATAAGAACATACTTTATGGTGTACTTACCCAAGTACCTCGAGATGTATTTAGAACCAATGACTTCTGGCTTTGTACTTCCAGGGATGGTCCACTGTGAAAAGACGGTGTGGGAAAGATGAATTTGAAAACGTAAAATCAGTCATCTCATACAGTGAAGTTATATGGAAAGAATTGTAATAATAACGTAATAATAGCATCAACAACAATAGCTTACTAAAGAAGAACAAGAACGAGAACGAGAACTAGGAAAGAAGGAGAAGAAGAAGAAGAAGAAGAAGAAGAA